TTGTTTTCATGTTGGAATACTGCCCTGCAGCCCAGTCTCCAAAGGGAGGGGATCATGCTCTGCTTCAGTATGTCACAGTACATGTTGGCATTCATGGTTCCCTCCCTGAACTGTAGCTCCCCAGTGCCAGCACAACTCATGCAGCCCCAGACCATGACACTCCCACCACCATGCTTGACTGTAGGCAAGACACACTTGTCTTTGCACCTTGTTGCCACTACATGTGTTTGACTCCATCTGATCCAAATAAGTTTATCTTTGTTTCATCAGACCACAGGACATGGTTCCAGTAATCCATGTCCTTAGTCTGCTTGTCTTCAGGCTTTCTTGTGCATCATATTTAGAAGAGGCTTCCTTCTGGGACGACAGCCATGCAGACTAATTTGATGCAATGTGTGGTGTATGGCCTGAGCACTGACAGGCTGACCCCCTACCCCTTCAACCTCTGCAGCAATGCTAGCTCTCATACATCTATTTCCCAAAGACACCCTCTGGACGCTGAGAATGTGCACTGAACTTCTTTGATCAATGTTGGCGAGGCCTTTTCTGAGTGGAACCTGTCCTGCTGTAGTCTTGGCCACTGTGCTACAGCTCAGTTTCAGGGTCTTTGCAATCTTCTTATAGTCTTGGCCATCTTTATGTAGAGCAACCATTATTTGCCATGAGGTGCCATGTTGAACTTCCAGTGACCAGTATGAGGGAGTGTGAGAGCGATAACACCAAATTTAACACACCTAAGACCTTGTAACACTAATGAGTCACATGACACTGGGGAGGGAAAATGGCTAATTGGGCCCTATTTGGACATTTTCACTTAGGAGTGTGCTCATTTTTGTTGCCAGCGGTTTAGAAATTAATGGCTGTGTGATGTGTTATTTTGAGGGGACAGAAAGTTTACAGTGTACCAGGCGGCATGATTGTCGGACAAAATTCACATCAACCAACTTGTTTGCAAGTGTCTGCTCTGCTGAATTCCAGCTGGCTCCAAGGGATCTGCTCTCCAGCTGAACCTGACCTCTGACCTCCTCCCAGTAGGATGACAAATACAAGTGATTTACCAGTATTAAACGTCCTACATGTCTGAAAGATAATACTCATTGTCATTGACCTGAATGCTGATCTTGGAAATGTGAAATGCTTTAAAGATTTAGGTTGGGGTTCTGAAGATTCTTGCTTATAACTGTGCGAAATATAAATACTTAGGAATTTTTACACATTCAGGTGGCAGGTTTGGGCACAAATTCATTGTTTCAATGTACTGTAGTTGTTGTTTTTTTTACATTCAACATCCAATGTGACCAAAATGTTAGACTACTGCAGTGGTGCTCAATCTGCCACACACCCCTTCAGAAGCCAGTTGAAATTGCATTATAGTATTTTGAAAAGATGTAACAGTTGGGGCCAGGCAAAAAAAAGTTATACATGCAGTCATGTAGATGTGCGTAGTTTCAACAGAGCGTTTCACCATACTGGTTTCACTCTACACTGATCACTGAGATGATTTAACTGTTTTATGGTCCATTCCAAATAAACCATGATGATTATACTTTAAGATTCTTTCAACATGTGGCACCACTGTCTTTTTTTCTTTTTGTTGTGTCATTCTATGATTATTATTTTTCTTCCCCAAACATGTTTTGTGATGGATGGATTTTTGCTTATTCAAACAAGGACAAGAAAAAATGTCTCTTCAATCTCTGGATCATCTTTCCAGCTCCAGCCTATAACTATTCCCTGGAAACACAATAGTTGCTCTAGGGCACAAAGGGAAGTGGGAGAGAATGTTTCCAGGTGATAATAGCAGTCATGTTTACGATGAGGTTGTCTGTCTGCGTTTGAGTATCATTCCACTACACACAATAATGCTCAATATTCAGTTATATGCAGATGGATCACCTTTCAGTTTGCCTTTCTGTTACTGTCCTGTCTTCACCTGAATAGTTAAGGTCCATTCTACTCATGTAACCTATTTAGGACAAACAAATATCAAGTTGCCTGCACATTCTTCAGACTTTAAAGGGGAATTAAGTAATTTATAATCAACATCTGTCCACTGCATGTCATGGACAGTTTTTCCACTCAGCTTATACATGCCTCTAATTCATGCAATGGATGACTTTTTTTAACAATAGAAACAAAGAACAACATCAATAGCAAAGGACTCCTGCTAAAGTGATCAGCTGATTAATTAGTCAGTCAACAAGTCAGTCACAGTGTGGCACAGCTGTTCTTCAGTGCCCACAGTGCAAATTAATATCCCTTTAGGAAAATAAGCATTGATTTATTATTGATTTAGTTAATCAAGTCAAGTTTATCAATAATACTCAATTATTCATTCATCCACATAAGATCATTAAGATTCACATTCACAACATTAAGATCACAGAAAATGTATTTGTCACACTCATTGCTATTGATTGATTTAGTGAATCAAGACTTAGCTAAAAGCGGTAACTATAAAATAATAATCAGTAGGTGGACAATGCTTTAATCAGATAACAAATAAATGTATTCCATGGTTGTGTATCAGCATGGTGTTTCTATGTGATTAAAGCAACAGTGATGTAATTCTACAAGCAGCTTCTGTCCTGCCTGAGTTGCTCAAAGAGTTTTTATCCCTTTGATTATTACTGCCTTTAAATATTATTTTACTAACACTCTGAGCTTACCCTGTCTTTCAACACTACAACAATGTTGTCTGGTTAACACAGGCACCAACAGCACTGGAATGTGGAAATACAGGATATTCACATGCCCAATTAATTTCACCAGCTGCCGATAGGTGTGAAACAGTGTGCACACACTCAAGGAAATATATGCATTTTTGAAGATTGATACCACTTTCATATCTCTATGGTAGTCCCTAAGGGGGCTTTCACACCTGAAAGTCCGCACCAAGGTCCGAACCAAAGTTCATGTTTTGATACATTCGGTTAGTTTTGGTTTGGTTTCACACTGCTATTCTGCACCGCACTAAATGACTTTACATGACACCCTTACGCCCTGTAGTCATCATATGATATGTGGGCTGCGTCTCCCTATACGTGACAATGATTGGTTTATTAAACAGTTCAGCTGGTATCTTTGACAAGAATGAATGAATAAAAATTAACATATGCATATTTGCCACAATATTATTATTATGGCAGTACTACCTGCAGCACCAACTATACTGAAGGATCGTTCAAATTCGCAATTAAACGTCCTCGTTGTGCGAACACTAACGTCGCCAACAGGAAAGTAGAAGACAGCAATCAATCCTTCTGCACCTCCGTTTCAGGAGAAACCAAAGATGTATGTGGCAGTGTGCTTCTATAGCGGCCGTACTGTTTGAAAAGATGATCTGTCACGGGAGATTCATAATTGTGTCCTTCTGTCAATGCATTTCTCCGTGCATTTGTTTGTTTCCGGTTTACACGTCAACCGCCAAACTTCCTGTAAACGGTCTGAAAGTCTGAACCATCCAAAAAATGCTTTCACACCAGAAACGAACCGAACCATGGTTCAGTTTGACTACCTCATTTTGTCGGACCAAATTTCCTCTGTTTGGTCCGGACCGTGGTCCCTGGGAGGTTTCACACCTGCAATTTTGGCTCCGACCAAACTGTAAAGGCCGGATGTCCGGACCAAACGAAGTAGGTGTGAAAGCCATGTAAAGCTAACAAATCAGGATCAAAACAATCAGAAGGAGCTTTACTGCCAAGTAGTGTTTTACATATAGGAGGAATTTGCTTTGGTGATTTAAGATGCTACACATAGACAAACATACAGTTGACATAAATAAATGTAGAAATATATAAATATGGAATAGACAATAAAATTTATATTAGAATAATAAAAAGAATAGAGAAAAATAATACAACTATTTGAGTGCTGACTGATCCTGATCCAACCAATCACTGCTCTTACTCTTTCATACCAGGCTACAAAACGACAACAGCAGACTAACAATCAACTCTGAACACAGCTCTTATGCCCTGTAACTGTACACTGCACACACACAAAGGCACATACACACATGACAAATGTTGAACTAATGGGTGGAGATGAATGGAGCAGCTCAGTGACCCGTCTGATGACAGGTTAGAAAAAAGGCTCTAACAAATCCACAACTATTTTCATAGAATGTTTATTAAAATATATAACAGAATTTGGCAATAAACAGCAGTATCAAAACATTTTAATAATGTCACTATTGGTTCTATTACAGACATATGTGTTGGTCTCAGAACAAAGTGTTCTTTCATCATTACTGTAACCTGTTTTAGTGTTTACTGTACTTTTAAGGGGAGCAGAGTGAGCGGCTTTATTCGATTAAAGAGAGATCTTTGATAAGATGATAATGTTAGCACTTCCACATTTGCGTAACCTTTTATTTAAAACCTTTCAGGCAATGAACAGGCTCATTAATCATAATTTGTTTCTCATGTAATCACAAGGCACACAAAGATGTAGTTGTGCTATATGTTATGTATGTGCTAGAATTGTGCTATCATTTCTCAAAACCGAGACCACTTAATTTCCTGTCACACAGCCAAGTAGAGGCAAGGAGTCTGCTGGCGGTTATGGTCTCCCAGGTTTACTTAAAGATAACTATTTCTTTTTTATTGTTAACAAATCATAAAAAAAGATCAAAACCAAATATTCATCCAGTACTGTATCCATCTGATATAATTCATTCCTCTGTGCCACAGATGTCCATTGTTGTTCTAAAACTGTTGCACTTCATGAAATGTTCCTTCAATACAATGTACATGGGTACTGTAGTCTATTTTGAGTCAATCCCACATATATGGTCCAGCTGCTGTAAACTAGAGCACCAAAAGTGTATTAATCCACAGGTGAAACAATCCCCAACAAATGCACTATTTACGCCTGTTTGAGTAACATTTATTAACCAGTGCCAGGTATTTAAGAAAATGATTTGGCCTGTTCAAATTCATATTTATTATGCAACAATGGGCTAGGGACTGAGAGCCACAGACAGAAGTCTGAAAGTATTGAAAAATGGACTAAGGATTTTTTTTTTGTCTTTCCATAGGATTTATTGACAGCAACAATGAAATATCCTTTAAGTTAACAAATGTATGTCCAAAATGTATTTATGGCACATTGAAGGGTTTTACTTTTTCTTTTAAAAATGATGACAGCTTCAAAGTGTACCTTCCCTTTGAGCTATTTAGTTACCGCACAACACGGAGGAGGTCAAAAGTCAATTCTGTAACATCAAAGGCAAGATGCTGATGCATGGGGTCAACAAAGACCTCTGGGCCTCCAGATTGCCCGGTGGTGTGGTGGGTGTGCTTGAGAGCGTCCAGGGTGGCGTAGATGACTCTGGCCCGCTGCTCCTCTGAGGGCGGGTCAGCCCAGCGATGACAGGGCATCGAGGGCGAGTGGAGGAGGAAATAGACAGACGACATGTAGACTTTAACAAACTCCTGTTTTACATAGGACAAGTCTCTCTGCAAACACACAGACAGGAAGGAACAGCTTATATACACAAACACCTTGTCAGCAGTCCATCAAGACAATATTCACTGAATACACATTCAGAGATGCACATACACAAACACATTCTAACTTCCTCGGAGAGAGAAAAGCCACCAGGTTACACATACTGTCAGCACACTCTACAGGTCTGTATTGGTATTTCACAAATACACACACACTGACCTTCTGTGCTCTGCTCATGTTGGTCTCAGCATCCAGCCAGGCACTCTTAAAGAAAACATCAGTAACACATATTTAAAAATGTGCATAATTATCACCTGTTTTTTAAATCAAATAATGTAAAAGCTGTGATGTATTCAGGATGTTCTTGCTATTAAACAGATGAGCTACGTCACACTGCTTAATTTTAAAGTCTATGCGCTGTTTGAAAAGCTTCTTAGTTTTGTGACGGATGAGTTTCTGGAGGAAATGCAGAATGCTTTTTGGTATCAGTTATGGTGAATACATTTTCAGTATGAAAATGCTCAGTTTAAAACAGTAAAACACACCAGTTAGTATGAGTTGAAACAGCAATAAAGAAGAATGAACAGTTTCTGTGATCTTGAAATTACTCCATTTGAAAGGCAACTGGTATGTTTGACCATGATGCACTCCCTACTGACCCGGAGAGCATCCAGCACATCTGGTTCGTCCAACAACACAGGGAAGGTAGAAAGTATAGGACTGCCTATCAGATCTAAAACAGAAAGATTTTTTTAAAAAGACTTCGTTCTAAGAAGCATGAATATCTTCAATTTGGATGAGACAGTATGGGTTTTTACCTGCGTTCTGCATGGTAGGCCTGTCCATCAGTAGTGTGTCAGCTAGCAACTGCCTGTGTAAAGCCAGCAGGTGGACGCAGCTCAGACAGTGCAGCAGTGTCTCTGGAAGGAGACTGAAGAGGAAAACGATACTTGTCACTAACATATACAATATATTGAACGCATATGCACACAGACGCATATGGCTGAGGTGAGTCATGAATGTCTCCAAATTAATCTAGTGATGATTTATTGTTACTGAATTAGATCACATAATCTGTTGCATGTGTGCAAGCTCTGTGGTAGTTTTTTCTTGCTTATCCGCCCACCTGAGTTGCGTTCTGGTCCGGCTGTTGGCTGATTTCAACTTTATGATCAGTTTGGGCTCCCGTCTGGCCTGAAGCATCTGCTGGAAAACACCAGCTGGAGCTGACAGGGCAGGACAGGAGAGATTTTTTAGACCCCATTTTAAAATAAAATTTTACAAAACATTTTTATGTGCTAAGCAAGTTTCAGAACTGCAGAATATCTCATTCCAACAAAAACTAAAAATGCCTTTATGAGGTAACGACTGTTAAGTTCTGGTGTGTCCACTTACATCCTCTAGTGGCTGAAGCCTCCACTGCGACATCCTTCTCATAGGGAGTGCCACCATTGACTGGCAGCTCATAGGTCCTACACACAAGGTGGATTAGATTAAATTATATATATATATGTATTATTTAAAGTAGTAAATGCTACATTTTTTCTACATCGCTACTTAATACAAATCACTCCTACAGCAGGTAGGTTTCATTTCCACAGTTATCCATTAATTCTTTCAAAAAATGGATAACTGAAAATAAAAATGTATGTGATTTCATATTTATGTATTGATCTAACTATGTTTCTGTTCAATTACAGTATTACAATAAGATTGTGAGTATGAATATATATAAAACGTAGGCATTTTTGTATATATACTGTATGCACCTGTATGTTTGTGTGTGTGTGTGTTTGTGTGTACCTGTTGGGGAGGGGATTTCCAGTGTCATCTGTCAGCTTGAGAAAAGCCCAGCCACAGCTCAGGTCTCCTCTCTCCCCTGTGGACTAAAACACACAGAAAAGATCAGACACAGCTGCTTCCCAAACACTGCTTTATTAGTAATTGTCCACTTATAGATCCATGACAACAAAAATTCCCCATTCCCCGTGTGATGTGTTTTATCTGCACTGACCTAATCATATCACTGTCACATGTTTGTCTGTATGTGTGTGTTTGTCCTTACGTTCCGCAAAAAGGTGACTCCTAGTTCAAAAAGGATGCCGAGGTCCGGAGATGCAGAGTTGCAGCGTAGAAAACAGTCTCCATCTAGGAGGGTGGGTAAGATACCTGTCATCTGGAGCAAGCAGATTAACGTTCAGCCTTAAACACGGTGTTGTTTTGAGCTTTTTTGATGCCAATTCTGGCGAATTGTAGCACTGCATCTCAGTAACAACCATCACAGTTTGATGGAAAGAAGTAGTTCATGTCACTTGACCAGACAGATATACTAATGACAACAGACATAATCTGATAAACATACCCTTGGAGAGAAGCTCCACATCTTGGGGCTCTTAGGGTTGTAGTTCGCCCTCACTGTGTGGATGTTACTCAACACCTGAAACACAAGTACAGCTCATTAAAAAACTAAAGTCTGGGATAGAACAAGTAAGTAAAAAGTCTAGTCCAAATAAAAAGACGTTGTCTGAGATATGGCATGAGCTAACGAACCAAAAGGGACTCATATATGATACTTCAGATAAAAGAGATGAGAGAAATTTGAATACAACTATACACCTAGTGCAGGTGATTTGTGGGCAAATTGTAGCTTATAATGAATACCTCAACAGTTTTCATACTGCAGAGACGTATAGTATAAGAATAGTATAAGGAAGTACAGCATGGTAAACAGCTCTTTATACAACAAAAAAACCCACCTGAGTTCCATCAAAGGCACAGAGGCGGATGTGTCTGCTGAGGACCTGAACTCCAATCCCAGGAGTAGGAATCATCCTGCAGCTCCACAAAGTGAAACAAACACACGACCTCACCTGCCGAGCACGAACCTACAAAGACAGAATGGGCGACTCACAGACTATATGATATATATTTATATATAATATGAGCTGTTTTTAATCGAGAAAGTATGTTCATGACTGGATGCTGAGAAATCTGAAAACATCATGTTTATTCATCATAGATACATTGAGTAACACCCAGAGGGACTGTCTCACCCTGCCAGTGTCTGGGTCCAGAAAGAGGTCACTAAAGGAGAGCTGTGATTGGCTGAGCTCAGGCTGAATATAGTGACTTCCTTTGTAAGTTACACCTAGAAAAAAAAACAACAGTTACACATGTATGATTTTTACTAATTGACTGCTGGGGAATTGTGATCTGCATTTTTGCAATTGTATTGACAATCTGACTCATTGATTACTGAGAAAATAATAGGCAGATTAATTGATTACAAAAATAACCGTTCATCGCAGCCCCAAAATAGATGATTTATCTGTAGTGTTCTTGGACAAGTGTGATGGAAGTTAGCTACAAGCCTGTCAATTTAAATTAACCAAACTGTTGTGTTTTTAAAACTAAACCTTTGACTCAGTGGCATACCTTATTAAGTGTATATGTGTGTGTGCTTGTTAGTGAGTGTATAATGACCTTCCTCCACCAGCAGTTTATTGAGAGTTGATGGTCTGAATCCTGAAGGTATAGCCCCCATGGCAGAGAGCACATCTGTTGCATCAATCTGTAACACACACACGCAAATTTGTTGATCGTAAAAATAGTTCCGTAGCAGTAGTTGTAGAGTTTGTAGATATTTACCTCAGTCAAAGCCTTTCTGACTGTACACCAGTTGGAATGTGAGGTATGGCTGTTGAAGAGCAGAGGAACTTCAATTGAATCCTTTTGACCACAACACTCAATCTACAAAATCTTCAAGAAGTATGTTAAAATGGAGGACCTGTTTTTCTCTCTGTCATCAGTTAAATCTTCACTATCTTGCTCTTCCTTCTCCACCTCTTCACTTTCGTCATCATCGTCGTCATTTTCATTATCGCTGTCATCTACATCCTCATCCTCATCATCATCAACACCAGAGCCAATCTGAAAAGTGGAGAGTCGTTTAAACTGCCAAAGATCCCGCGTTACTTAGATTTCATTGTGAGGATAAAATAGAGGAGACAAGAAATACCACAGGAATTACAATAGCAGACTTGTTACTAAAAAGTTCATCTTCATCAATCTTCAGTGTACACCCTAGTATTTTGTATTTTTATGGCCACAATCACATTTTAGAATAACTTGTATTAAAGCTCTTTTGCTGAATGCTTGTTAAATTGTTGGACACTCGACTTGTGATGCAGATGTTCAGCAGCTTGTATACCTTCAGGTAGGTTTTTGGAACCACTCCTCTGTTGCCTTTAGTGTCTTGAGCCAGCCACCATCCATCTGCCGTCATCCTGATTATCCTCAATATCTCCCCCCTCTGAAAACAGCAGGGAAACGAACAAGTCATGTAACGTATTACTCATGCATTACTAAAAAAACAGACTTTCTTTGCTTAAAATTAAAGCGTGTAGTTAACAAAGCTGGTTGGGAATACTTGATTTCATCATGTTTTCCTGTCAGCATTTCTTTAACCTTCGTTGTACCTGAAGGGTTCTGGATATATGATTTGGAGGACAGAATCACCGTATTTTTTTCTTGCATGGGATAAAATGCAATTTTTCACGTGCAAGAAAAAAAACAAAACTTTTTATTCCACCACATTTATGTGATAATTTTAGTTACTAGTTATGTTGCAATTTCTGATTGATAATACAAAACATAATCAACAATATGATGTAGGTTGAAAGGAAGGTTTTTAACTATATACAGTAATTATAATTAGCTGCAACACATGGGCCATTCTACTTAAGTACACTGAAGAAAATTATAAATGCAACATTTTTGTTTTTGCCCCCATTCATTATGAGCTGAACTCAAAGATCTAAGACCTATGTACACAAAAGGCCTATTTCTCTCAAATATTGTTCATAAAAAAAAAAATGTTGCGTTTATAATTTTGTTCAGTGTATGTTTTGATGCCAATACTTCTGTACTCTAATTTAAGTAAAATGTATACAGTGGTACTGCTTCTTTTACTAAAGTAAATTCAGTTTTTTCCTGATTATCTTCCTTGGTTTTTAGTAGAGAAGCTTTGAAAAGGTTTATAGAAATCTTTATAAGAACACATTTTGGTCTATCCACACATCTTCCTCACCTGCAATGTTCAGGTATAGCAAGCATTTAAAAAAAGAGGTCACACAGCATGGTACTGGGTTCGAGCGGAGGGACTAAAACTCAAAATACTTGACTTTAATTTGTCACACATGTACATTTCACTCTACCTACTGTGCAATTGTGCAACATGCAAGACCGCTACATGTAGAGGAGCTGGTTGGAGGTAAATTTCTAACCACTTCTATAGTGCTTTATCTCTTTTATGAATCAGGAAGTACTTCACCTGAACAGACAGATCTCCCTCCTGCTCTCCTTTGAAATCACTGAGGACTGTGTAGATGCGAGGGTCTGACTGAGGAGGCAGTTTTGCAGCTCGCTTCTTATTTTCATCATCATCAACATCGTCATCGTTACTGTCTTCGTCATCGTCTTCATCATCCTCACTCTCTTCCTTTGAAACGTCGCTGTGGATCAAAACACAGTAAAAGATATTTTAGATGTCAAACTATATCTTCTAGAACCTAAAAGAAACTTGAGCTTCAACATTAAAATGTTCTGGATGTGACACATTTAAATTGATGCTTTGAAACTGATATTTCTGAGCAACTCCTTTACAAAGAATACATGTGAATTTAACTGTTGTGAAGAAATTGAGCCACTGCTGCAATAAATACGATTTTTCCTTGCAGAGAACACACAAGTCACTCACCGTGCAGCAGTACTGGGTCCTGGTGGCGAAAGCTCCAAAGAGAGGTTGTTTATACGCTCCAGGATGTTCTGCAGTCGCCTCTCCTCTTCCTGCTTCCTCTGATCATAGTTTCCCACTGGAGCCAACTCATCAGCCTTGAAAATCAAATTATGATGTCAATTTAGCTAGTTTAAGATTCTACTTTAAAAGAACAGAACTATACACAATACAGTGTGGTTAGACTGACATACTGGGATATAACTGAGCAATTGCAAACTGGCCTGTCAGTGATATTAATATTCAATAATGTACAGTCTGTATTCATTTTGTTATATTCCAAGTGTTAGCTGTCAACAGATCACTTATCCTAACCCTAAAACACAATCGTCAGTGCTGCCTTAAAGATTAATTAAAGAGTATATTATTTGGGACTGTAAATAATGCTTTTTCAGGATCCAAACAACTAATATGGGTCAAATAACAGCCTTGGTTGCTTGGAATTTTGGTAATCTAGGAGTTGAACTGAATTATTGTACGACTCTTACAAGGAAGATATTTAATAATCAAATAATCATTAACAAGTTAACAAACAGGACAGCACTAACTTTGGTCAGTTTCTGCAGCGTCCTTAGTGTCTTCTCTGCTGACATCTGCAATTCTTGACATCTGTTTGAAAAAAAAACACGATTTAAACAAAATAAATAATGTATCAAAGCAGAATAAAAGCCACGTCCCTTCAATAGTTTCAGTGCTAGTCTGGATGAGGTTCTACAGTGAGTTATTCTAGTTTAGGAAACACTGCTGTGGTTCTGTCAGAGGCAAAGCTGTTTACCTCCGAAATGCCTCTTCAGTGGATCCATCCTGTTGGTGCTTGTCTTTCACCAGACTGTCAACCTGGATTAGAACAACAATGAGATTAATGGACAGTGTGATTACAGGGATGTTGACACCAACTTGACCCATTTACATTCTGGACATTGTCCTTATGTTCCTTAAGGTGCACTTTCCCTTTTAGATAAATAAACAAATAAACCTGCAGTTGAGCTTTAATTGCACATATACAGTGTGTAACGTTATAACTGGTGTTTAACAATACACTTCTGTTAAACATGTAGCTCAGATCTCCTCTATTTTCTGGATGTTTTCACTAGCAACAAAACTACAGGCCAGTCTAGGATCCTGTCCTCTGAATGTGTTGTTTTAAAAAAAAAAAAGCTGGCCTAAGATCCTATGCTGCTGGCCACCCTTCATTTAAAATCTGGGCTTTTAATGTGTCCCTACTTCTTGACTGAGCACTTCATTAAATAAGTCTTTAAGCCCTACTCTTAGAGTATTCTAGAAAATTCGTCATTCCCTTCATTAACCAAAAAACACTTTTAAGAAGTTTTGCCTTTGTTTAAGTTACACTGCTTACTGAAATAAGAATAACAGGCGCTAAACAAATGGAAAACCATAGTCTTTGTTGTAGAAAATACATTACTGACCGATGTTTTTTTGCTGAAAAGTGAAACGTGATTCACCCGCAGCTTCACGTTATTTATGAACACTTGTGCACAAGGCACATCTGTTTTTATAGTAAAAATTGGGCAACACGTAAGTTAACTTTTGTCATCCTTCATACGGAGCTGATATAGACCAAGCCTTAGGATCCCTTTAGTTGGAAAGTGGTCGGTTAGAGGTACCGCTGCAAAACTCTGTCCATCACGTTATGTCTGACACTCCAAACTGTTTGCTCAGCCATGGTCGAGTTTAAGGTTTAAATATCACCGAGACAACCACAAACACACATGCATTCTTTAACACACCTGTTTTTTTATTTCGTCCACATCTCTCTGGACAAGCTGCAATGGTCCTTTTCTTTTTGGTGGCATTTAAACGCTGTTTTTATTATTTTAATGGGACATAACCCATGTGTTAGCATGTCGCCTAGCTAGCTAGCTAGCTAAAGGTACACTGTCGCTAAGCAACTGGGCTCTTCTTCTTCTTCTTCTTCTTCTTCTTCTTCTTTTTTTTTTTTTTTTTCTTCATTCTTCTTCTTCTATGGAATTTTATGGCGGTTGGCATCCTTAAATGTTGCATTACCGCCACCCAGAGCCCTTTAAAGAGAGAGAGCTCTTTAAAGGGCTCTGCCGCCACCTACTGTTTTAATCAGTTTCCCAGTGCGAAAAATATACAGTGTCCACACAAAGTACTCCTCATTCACACCATTGTCTATTCTACCCGCATTCCATTGTCTGAGTAGTTGCAAATCCTTCCCTCAGTATATTGTCTCTTCTCCCAATATGTCCACAATGTCCAAGTATCTGCTTGCGGCATCCAACACCATCTTAATCCTCTCTGATTGACTCTTTATTTTGACGGCACAATTTACAACCGTCCCTATAGTAAAAAAATAAAGAGTGTCTTCCTGCTGACTCTTAAACCCTCTCCCTGACCGTCTGTTCCCAGTAGGATATTCCCATCAGATTCCACTCCGGTCCACCTCACAGAGTTAATCATGCAGGCCTAACTTTTCTTTTTCAGCTTCATATAGTGCCATTTTTCTTCACCAAAATCAGAAAGAGCTTTATGGCCAAGTAGAATGTTACATGTACGAGGAATTTGCTATGGTGATTAGGTGCTAGACATAGACAAACATACAGTTGACATAAATAAATGTAATATATAAATATTAAATAAACAGATGCAAGATATATAAGAATAGTAGAACAATATCGCAGTTGTTTACGTGTGCATTACTTGTCCATTGTCAGGTGGAACTGGTTGTGTTATTTCCATTTGCAATGTCCTTTTTGCTAGTTTATCGGCACACACATCTTCTCTCACAGTTGTTGCTGACTGTGTGCATCCCACACCCTATCAGGTCTGACCTCTTCAACTCTCTGTAACCCAACAGTGGTTGCCACTATTTCTGCTGTATATACACAGAAAACTGGTCGGACAGCCTTTTGGAGATAGCGATTTTAAACTAAGGACATCCACACCGATTACCACATATTCTATGTATTTATTTATTTAAAATGGACAGTGCATATTATTGAACATATTTGCTTTTCAGCAATGTAAATATGCCAGAATTAGCCCAAAGGCTATTTTCCTTCTGTTGTCCCCGGCAGGTCACAAAGTCATAAGGTGAATAAAAACAACACAATAAAACAATTTGTTAAATATACAATACGACACAATATAAAAGACACTACAATGTTCTATCACGGTTATACAGATTAAAGTGCTATTGTATATGCAGTAAAGTGCAAATTAATGTACTAAAGTGCAGTGAAGTGCTGCTTGGGGGCCGGACAATTTGTTAGTTTTAACTATAGCCTACATATACACACACACACACACACACACACACACACACACACACCAACATGTATGAGTGCATACATACATACTCGCACTCACACACAAAGTGCAACAGAGTCGTAAACTTGATTTGTCTTGGGCCATCGTTTGAGATGAGTCTTTAATGTGGGGTAAGTGGGGCATTCCCTTACTGCAGCTGGTAAGTTATTGCAGATCTCAGTACCCTTAACTGACAATGCATTTTATCGGAATATTGTGCGTCTGTAAGGCACCACGCAGTCTCCTCTGGTGAAGGCCCTAGTTGCAGTTCTTCCGCCACCATTTGATTTCAGTTTAATGTATTCATTTAGTGAATAGTAGACCAGTTTGTAAAACAGTATTCAATATGAGAAAAGATCACTGAATGAAGAAACACTCTGACAGTAGAAGGTTTGTTCCTAAAACCATCTGTGTAGATTTTTAGATAATTGTGATAACTTTTCCTCAGGCACAGACTTGTTTTAACATTGATTGGCTATTATTGTTTCTTTTCCAGAATACACATGTCTATCTTTAATTCTAGGAAAAGCCCAAAGGGTTTGCTATTAACTGGTGTGGACTTGGTGAAGGCGTCCATTCCATATGCCCTCGCTTTTTCTTCCTTTGTCCACCCAAACCACCCCTTTGCTGCTGCTTCACATACTGTATAACCATAATCTATTGTTGACCTCATATTCGCCCTATGTCAATTATTGCCTGTTTATCTGCCCCCCAGCTGCATCAGGCCATGGCTCATAAAAGATTTATGACTTTTTTTTGCATTTTGCAGTGTTTCATTTACATACTCCATGTTTATTTGCTTTCTAGCCATAGACCCTGGAAATTAAATTCAGACAGCCTCTCCGCGGGCTGACCATATAGTGTTAGCTTCTTGTGCTTATTTATAAACATCATGTAACAAGACTTGCTTGTTGAGAACTTAAACCCCCACTCATGTGACCAATTCTCAACTACCTGTATTGCTTTTCCTATATTCTCTAACACAAATGGCACATATCTTCCCCTCATCCATATGGCTCCATCGTCTGCATATAGCGCTGGTTTGATACATACATCTAAATTTGTAAAGATGTGATGTACTGTGTACCATTTTCTTCTTCAAAATCCTTAATTACATCTGCTCCAACCTTGACACTTCATTTACTACCTGTAAAAATCCAATGATACATTCTACATGTAACACCCCTTGTGCCTATTTTGAGAACCAACCCTTCCCTCCACATGCCTTTATGATGTCAAATATACTGTTGCAATCAACTCGTTCATTTTTAGTGTCTTTTCCACTTCATTACTCTAACTAGAGCATCTTTTATCTAAAACTGGTCGGACAGCCTTTTGGAAATAGCTATTTAACACTCAGGGACATACACATCAATTACAACACACTCTATTTATTTATTTAAAATGGACAGTGCATATTATTGAATATATTTGCTTTTCAGCAATGTAAATATGCCAGAATTAGCCCAAAGGCTATTTTCCTTCTGTTGTCCCCGGCAGGTCACAAAGTCACAAGGTGAAAAACAACAACACAATAAAACAATTTATTAAATATACAATACGACAAATATAATAGATACTACAATCTTCTCTACAGGGTTATGAAGATTAAGGTGCTGATTAATTTCGCAACCCTCACCACCAGATGCCACTAAAACTTAAACACTGAACCTTTAAGTGGTTTACTAGAATCAGACTCTACAGGGGAAAAGGCTGATTGGTGGTCTAAAAACGTGAAGTGAAAGTTTGGAAAAATCAAGTTAAGTATATGAATCACACTCTATGTTTTCACCTAAAGTTTATGTATATTATTTATTGATATAATGTTTATTCTGCTAGCTGATTATTGTAGCTCTACAGCGCCACATCTGGCCAGTACACAGTATTGTGCAATGTTATGCAAACTCAAAGCAGACACGTGTTCCTTACTGTGCTTGTTGTGAAACATGTTGCCTTCAGGTTCTCCTTGTTAGCTTCTTGATTTAAAAGGTCTTTCATGTTCACATTATTATGATGAACAAATTTTCAGCGATGCTATAGACAACATTGAGGAAAGTCTATAAAATTCCTTGTAAAAGTCACTTGTTAGCATATTCCCTTGCTATCCTGCCCCGAGAAGATTTCAAGATTAGTCTTGAAAATTACGACGTTTCTTGTGGACCTGAAGGCAGCAAAACGCCTTCTCTCCGTCCGCAGTGACGTCATTTAACTGTCATGGCCGCTCCCATCGCGCTCATTCAAGGGGCCAGCAGAGGACTGGGGCTTCAATTCTGCAAACATATCTTGAAACAAAAAACTCCCGCTGTCGTTGTAGCGACATGTCGAAACCCTGATGGCGCGGCCGAGCTGCGGGGCCTGGCCGGCCACCACCCGGGCAGACTGACGGTCCTCAGGCTTGACGTGAACCGGGAGGAGGACATCCGCGGAGCTGCGGAGCGGGTGAAGGAGAGCTTCGGTCGGCTGGATCTGATGGTTAACTCTTCAGCGATGCTTCACCCCTCCGGAAAAGGAGAGACCAGCCTGAGGGATGTTTCTGCACAGGTAAAGCATTAAGACTGTCTGAGCTGCTGTCAGCATGAAAAGTACAATAAAAGTGAGTATGATTCTGTCTGCTGGGGTGTAGCCTACTAAATGTGCTTTAAATTACGTGTAGTTTAGATTAGTTTACTCTGTCAAATTAGTCATCTGAAACTGTCAGGTTTTGTAACGGCTCACAACAGTGATTCCCAAAGGGGTCCTTGGACTCTCCACAGGTCATTGTAGTGTCAGGGGGACTCCAAGGAATTCTGATCCCCTGTTACGAATCTGCTTTTAAAGTCGGCATAAAAACAATGGCCACACCCTAATTAATTCCACGGTCAAGACAGACCAAGTACCCTCCACATATGTTAACTGATTAAACCTCTGCTTAGTTTTGACTGACTTGTTTCCCCTTTCAGGGCATCATTTCCACCTTGACGACCAACACAGTGGGTCCCCTTGTCATGGCCAAGTATTTTGCCCCCCTCCTTCAGAAAGGTGGAGGTGGTTTTGGTCAACAGCCCGCAGAGAAAGCAAAGCAGCACAGCGGCATCATCGTCAACATCACGGCCAAGGTGGGATCCATTGGCGACAACAGTAGGTATTGTGTTGCAGGTGGTTCAGAAACCCAATTTTGTTTTGTTAAATATCTGTACACATCATGTAGACTATGCGTGGAGAGGGCATGTTGAAGGGAAAAAAATCATTCTAAGCCCTAATTACAAAATATATATTTCTCTTCTAACACCTGTAGTCATGTGTTCAGGCTAATGTAGGATGGTATGATTCATTTGTGTTCCTCTATATTTCCCTCTCTCGACCACTGCCCCCCTGCTTGCAGGTCTTGGTGGTTGGTACAGCTACAGAATGTCTAAAGCAGCTCTCAACATGGCTACCAGGAATCTGTCTATAGAGCTGGGTCGCAGTCGACCCAAGGTAGGTTTAAGTTGTTGCCATAAAATACCGTAAGCAAATGAGACGATAGTGGAGACAGTTGGTCAGCAGAGAAAGAGTGTTGGGAAATGGATGGATGATGCCTTTGTACGTGCATATAAACCAATGGCCATTGTGTTATAGAGAGTTGATGAATTTGTTTCTGATTTTTCCAGGTGGTTTGTGTGTCCTTACATCCAGGAACAGTCAACACAGACCTCTCCCGGCCATATCACAGGAATGTGCCAAAAGACAAGTTGTTCGGTCCCGATCACTCTGTGTACTGTCTGATGAGCATCATCGACACACTGAATATCGAAAAGACTGGCAAGGCGTACAGCTGGGACGGGACTGAACTTCCGTGGTAGAATAAATAAATGGACAAAGAGAGAAATTTATTTACTCACCTCTATTCTTGATGCTAAATCTCTCAGCACTGTCTAGATTGTGAAATAAGCATTTTACACTGTAAAGTGGAAGCCGGTGCTATACAGGAGGTTCCTGGTGGAGTCAGTCTTAAACTGCCAAAGACAAAGACTTTCCACTACCTGACAACCAGCCAAGTGTTTAAATAATTTTTAACGCTTATATTAATAATGCCATCACATAAAGGCCTTATTTGGCCTTAAGGTTTGATGCAATTGTAATACTAATGATTTCATGTAGCACACAGAGAGTAGATTTTGGTGGTGGAAATAAAATAATATCATATTAATCTTGAGGTTTTCTTGCAGTATCAATATCACCAAGTGGTTCATGTTAAAAGCGTAGTTTGACATTTTGGGAGATAACGCTTACTCACTTTCTCACCAAGAGTGAGATGAGAAGATTGATAACCACTCTCACATTTAGCCATTTAGTTTCGCTTCAGTTATTTTTAAAGAGCCCCAAATCATTACGGAAGTTATTTCATTGCACCTTTCAAACAGAGTAGAGTCTAGACCGTACGTTTATAATTCCCACCAATAATCCCAACAATTGCCACCATGAGCATGCACTTGGCAGCAAAAACAGTGGGAAGGGAAAAACTCCCTTTAACAGGCGGAAACCTCAAGCAGAACCTAGACTCAAGGTGGGCGGCCAACTGCCTCGACCGGTTTGGTTGAGAGATAAAGAGAGAAGGAGGAAAGAGAACACACAATGCAAGTTCCACAGAGAGATGTAAAGTAATGATAATAAAAAATAAGACTAAATATAGCCGCATATGTCAATGATTGAGGTCCAAACAGATTGCAAAAAAATGCTAAATTAATTTTTTTAGAGCAGAAGACAAGATGCAGATGGCTTGAGAGATTAAAATGTTGAATTTTGAATCTAGGCTGAGCCATTTGCAAGATAATTGCCAAAATGTAAACATGGTTGTTACGTCACCACCTTTAGGTCAATGAGTATCATTTCATGTTCCGGAGTAGTGGATGGAATTTGCAACCCATCTGCCAATTTTGGTGACTTTTGGTGTAATGGTTTTGGGGAAGGAGAAGAACAAGAAGTCCAATGGGTAACACTGGCATGTGCCAGCCTCCACCTGTCAGTGGATCACAGACTTCCTGACTGACAGGAGTCAGCAGGTGAGGCTGGGTAACATCACATCCAGCACCTGGACTATCAGCACTGGCGCCCTCCAGGGGTGTATGCTCTCCCCACTGCTCTTCTCCCTCTACATCAACGACTGCACCTCAGGAAACCCATCTGTCAAACTCCTGAAGTTCGCTGACAACACAACGGTCATCGGCCTCATCCGGGACGGTGACAAGTCGACCTACAGACGGGGGTTGATTAGCTGGCTCTCTGGTGCCGTCAGAACAACCTGGAGTTTACCACGCTCAAAACTGTGGAGATGACCTGGACTTCAGGAGAAGCCTCCCCACTCTGCCCCCCATCACCATACTCAACAGCTCTGTGTCTGCTGTGGAATCCTTCAGGTTTCTGGGTTCCACTATATCCCAGGACCTGAAGTGGGAGCCCAACACTGACACCATCGTCAAGAAGGCCCAGCAGAGGACGAACTTCCTGCGTCAGCTCAGGAAACTCAATCTGCCTAAGGACCTGCTGATCCAGGTATATACAGCCATCATCCAGTCTGTTCTCTGCACCTCCGTCACTGTCTGGTCTGGATCTGCCACCAAAAAGGACAAGACCAGACTACAATTTATTTATTCACCATTCTCTATTTCAGTGCTGTTCATACTATGTCATATTGTATACTGGTCTTATTTATTTTTTCCAGCATCCTTTGCACTATGTTCCATCACACTGTGTACATGTGTACATGTATGTGTATGTGTACCTGTATATCATATCCACCTTCAACATGTACATAATGAGAATAATAGTTTACTCTTGCATCCTTTGCACTCTGATCACTGCACTATTTGACAATATGTCTACATTGTTTTGTTCATAGTGTGTATGTTAGTGTTGTCTATACTGTAGTTTGTGTCTGATTTTATTTTATTATTATTTTATTATTGTGTAATGGTATTATTGTATAAGTAAGCACATCGTGAGCAATGTACAATCCTGAGTCAAATTCCTCGTATGTGTACACATATCTGGCAATAAAGCTGATTCTGATTCTGATTTATTATCGCAGTGCGGTGATGTGGCAAACATATTCGATCAGTTACAGTGGATCTTTAATGTTTCCCAATTGGTTTTGGTTTTGAATTTTTCCCCCTTGGTATGAAACAGGGTATAGCATTTACACCTCACATCCTCAGTCACAATACTGAGAAAAAAACAAATTTACAAGTTATCTTTGGATAACAGAGGTCATGCAGAGCTGCATTTCACTCTTGGAATGTTGGCTAAAATTATCTTTTGTTTAACAAAATACAATAAATTAAATTTCTGAAACCATGAAATAGATATTTGTTCTTGTAATCGGGTGGTTTCAGAAGCAATTGGCTGCGTATGACTGAACTCAATCCTGTTATGGGATTTTTATACATTGACCTGATTCTTACCAAGTCTAGGTAACCAGACTACATTAAACAACCATATGGAGAAGAAAGTTAAATATTTGTAATTTCATAAAGAAGACAGACTTTTACCGTACCTTTAGGAGGCAGCCCCGTTATTGAATTATACTGCTTTTGGTAGAGCACAGTTTTAACCAGAAGATGGCAGCATTTCAGGACTCCATTAGTGCTCTTTGGTATCCTCAATCTTCAAGTGCATGGCTTTCTCTTAAATGAGTTACTGAAATCACTGCATTTGTTTATTTACTGTAATAATTGGTGGTGTTACGTCAAAACATTACGGTATATTTGTACTTTTCATGCTATTTTTAATTTTAAGGCCATATTTCTTATGGTCTCACTATCATAATAACTGCAATTGTGTGTCACTTCATAGCTTAACCTATGCTGTGGTTCTCAAACTGGGGGGACAGATATAAATCAGGAATGGATTGCCAAAAAATAAAAGAAATGTCTTATCCAAACGAAGGTTGAGGACGTCCAGTTGCCCTTGACCTCAACCTTCCTTGGATAACTGTGACCTGGATGACTGAGAACCTTCACAGACAAAGGAACATTTTATCTTTGTAATGGTTCTATTGATTGTTTTCCTTTATCAAGCCGAGATTGTTATTTGACCTTTGTATCTTGACTGAACTGTGGTTGCTGTTTAATGCTCTGTCTGATTTCAGGTCTTTTAAATAACATCATCTAGAGTCTCCTAATCTCAGTGTGAAGGCTACCCCTTATATGAAGGACTAGCCCATTTCTTTGCTGTTATTATATTTTATTTCCTTCAACGTCTAATAGTGGTCAAGATGTCTGAAGGGAGACCTGTTCATAGACATCCCAGATTATTCTATAGACAAATCAGATATAACAATTAACAGGATTTTAAAAAAGGCTTGTTATCAGAGGCTATTCCTCTGATTATTTCATGGATTTCTAGTGAAATGTCTTTAATTGGCTGTGCTTTTACAGACAGCAAGGGTTACTGCAGTTCATTTTCGTGACTGACATATTGACTGGCAGCTTTGTGCGCACATCATGCGTGGAGAGGACCGCGGGGAATGAGGATGACAGCGAACAGCGACTTATATAAATTAAGCGCACACAGCCGCGGTTGTGTGCAGTTTGGTTGTGTTGAGACTTTAATATTCCGGTTCATTGTAGTAGTCCTACTCTAAGCGGCACACGACGAGTCCTTTCTTGCATTTCTTTGTGTTTAAGTGCATAATGGCAGTGTGATTTTACTGCTCTCTTAGAGAGAAAACCGGTCGGAGGAGGTGAACGGGTTCGGGCCTCGACTGGAGGAACTGGTATGACGTCGCCGTCCACCAACACATTAATACACCGGCTGCTGCTGCTGCGCCTGCCAGAATCTCAATGTGGGAAATGACCGCGAGTGACCTCAAAGGAAACACTGTATTTTAGCGACTGTGCGCACTCCCATTTTAGACTACATTGAATTAACATTTTATGTCAATTTTTATTTTGATATTTAAGGGTAGAAAACGTTACATTAGGGGAAAGTATCAGGTATACTGGTCGCGCTACTGTCTCACGAGCTTGCAAGCAGCGGGGCTACGATTAGCTAGCTAAGCTAAAGTAGTCCGGTTTCTCATCGCTAGCGGCCGTGGGGTTTTTACCGTATTTTCCTCCTGCAGATGCTAAGCTAAGCTAGGCTAGGCTAGGCTAGCTGCTGCCATGGATAAAGCCAAGTCAATGATGGACTCGAACGGAGCGTCGGGAGCCTTTCATGTCAACAGCGGGCCGAGCCAGAGGGGGTTTCACAGCCCCATCGCTGTGGTCGCTAACGGCAGCTGTTGCAGCAGCAGCAGCAGCAGTAATGCATTCGGCTCGAGCAGCGGAGCCAACAGCAGCACTTTTGAGAGCATGCATCATCTGCACGATGGGGAGTGCAACGGGTCCCCGGCCAAGAGGTGCAGGCTACGGCGGAGGACGGAGTCGGTGAGACGGAGCAGACCCCGTAAGTGCCAACCAGCTTTTTTTGGGGGGGGGGCGAGTTGGGGAGCAAGTTCGTCAGCGAACGTTACAGTGTGTACGCTGTGTGACATTTTCTTTCCGATTTGTGTGATAAGTACATCTGCAACCTCCACTGTGCAATACCGATCAGCTGGGGTTTGCGCAACCATACAGTGTTGCAATGAGAGAGAGCAATCTCCTCTCTCCCTTGACTGTTTCTTTTCGTAACTGCTATGATAATTTCGTGGTTAATGTGTTTTTCATATCAATATATTATGATACAATCATATGTAAGTGTCTCAGGCAAATCTGTCCAATCCACAAGTATGCCGTCGTCCGGGAGACCCCCTCTTGTTTGGGTGAACCCTCAGGTTGCATTTGGTGCGCTGTGATTGGTCAGGTCCCGGTGGTGAAAAAGCTCCTGATAAGTGGGCTTGGTTTGCCTCAGCCAATCAGCACCCGACTCTTGTCTTCAGAAGGCAGGGTTGAATGGGTCGGGACCCCGCCCCCGTATTTACCGAGTATTTCGGGTGATGGGAGTGAAGATAATCCAGGAAAACATGCAGTTTTTACGCAGAATGTGAAAAAGTGTCGTTTTCTTCGCTGTGTTAAGTCTTATAAAACACCCAAGACTGACCGAGGCCTTCTAAGCGTTCCTCCTACCAGCTTGTATAATATCATTTTTAATTGTTTTTTTTATGCACCTGTGAGCTGATATTTTACCTCCAATATGAAGCTTATAAGTGAAAAGAAACCCGGTAAGTGTGAGTTGGTTTGTTTCTCATTGTATTGAGAAGGTATTAAAACAACTAAAATCTCTTTACTCATGTTTTTCTTGAAGTGAGGTTAAGTCTTTAAGTGTTTTGTCCTTTTATAATTTGGTTTTAGGCTAGATAAAAAAACAAATCGGTCTCTTCCTGAATTTGTTATCTTCATTAATGAATGTTTCAGACATGACAATGTTGGACTTTTAAAACACAATTTAAAAACAAATGCTGTTTAAAGTCATACTTTTGCAGGCAGCTGTTTGCTTTACACCGCAGGGCATTTCAGCCTAACTTCCTCACAGCTCCTTTACAGGGCTATTAAGGGAGAGCCTTTAGGGGTTTGTTGTGGCCGAGTGTAGCTGTCATGGTAGAACTTGTTATCGTTTTTAGAAATATTTGCAGAGAGACCAGATGCAAGTTTAAGGGGCCTTGTGGCGAAGGCGTCTCCTTAGCGTTCCCTACATCTATGTGTTAGGGAGAGACAGAGAGAAAGATGGGATGAGACACGGATGAGAAAGGGCAGGGGCATCATTATTGGTTTCTGCATTCAAGGAAAGCTCTGTCACCTGTGAAAAACCTGCATGTTACAGCATTAATCAATTATGGCTGGTCAATAGCTAAATATGAGCTTTTAATGACGTAATTCTTTTAGATATTGTGGCTAATCATTGTAATGTCAACTCGTAACTGGTTAACTTTCTACCAAAACATGTCGCAGTTATTCATTTATTATGCAGCTACAAGGGTTTGTGAGCATTTATTGGATTTTACTGGAGGTCTCCTCTTTCTATAATTTGGTTAAGTGTTTGTTTACCACTGGCACACACTTTGGGTCTTACAGGTCAGGTACAGGTACCTGTCAGACCAGTTAACTGCATCTTTTTCTTGCTGTTCTGCTTTAACAGATGGTAACTTTTGTAAATATGATGACCAGCACATAAGTTCTCACAGTTTTCACAGATGCTCTTGTTAAAGCACCAAAAAGTACCATTTCTGTTCTTGTCCCCTTAATTAGTGGACCCACAGAACTCAGCCTGTAAAAATGTGCAGCCTGTTGAGTAGTACAGAGCAACATTAAAATCTGTAGTTTGCAGTGGAAATGCATTTAATGTTAAGTTAAACACCGACTGTCTCCTTTCACTAGAATATGAAAGATGAGTAGATTTTCTATCAGTGGTTTATTCTTTAAAAAGAAATAGCCAACACAACAATGTAAAACAGAATCAACATGTGCTAAAATGTAAAATAACGTATTTGGGGGGTTGAAGACTGTAAATATAGGCTACAGTTTGTACTCCGGACTCTGTGAGTGAGATGAGATATTTTCTAAGTTGCTCTGAAGTGATGAAAAGGTAAATAAACCAGTCAGTAAACAGGAAAATCGTCATGAGAAAACGCCATCATGCACAAAATTGACACTCTTTTCATCAAGCTTAATGTGGTTTGTACTGGTGTGATTATGAATGGACAAACTGAAATTACTGAAGACGTGTGACATTGCAATTGAATAGACAGCTGGTAATGCGTTGTTTTTTTTGCTGTGATGCTTAGTGGCCTGAGAAAGAAAGGCCCTACACCAGAATTGGCCTGGATTGCATAATTAAGGGAACATCTCAGTAAACTTTGAAATGTCCGGTCAGATCCTCTGCTTTATGGTTGTGTTATCCTTGGATGGAGGCCAGCCGTCCTGATAAACCTGGATAACTCTCTAAGCTTTTCCCCACTGAGAGCCGACCCTGGAATGTATTCCCCTCCGGGATGTGATTTTTCACTTTTGTCCTCAGATTTTGTTTTACCCCGGGTTTAAGGTGGTTTAGGATTGGGGGTTACTTTTGCGTAACACTGCCTGCAGTACCCCCTGTTTACTCCAGAAGAAACTTGGCAGCAATTTTCATTGACTGTCTCCTTGAACAGAATTGCCTTTATTTGAACCAACAGGCTTATTCTCCAGCTCCGTCACATGACAGGGCTAAGTTTCTTTTTGTACTTCATATCTATTTTTAACTTGTTCAAGTTAACATTCCAATTAAAACATTGAGATGAGATTTTGTCACCTGTTTTTATACAATTAATTTACCCAGACAGTAAATACTTTATCATTTCATGGTCAACCTAAAAAAAAAACAACACTTACACTAATTGTATTAGGTCATTTGAGTAAATGTGCAGTGTTTCAATACAGCAAAAGTCACTGGTTGTAAACCATAGAGATCATGTACTAATTAACTGAGTACAGCATTAGTTGCTGAAGTGTGTTTTTATGTCATGTTCAATGCAGAATACATTTTGTGTGTGCATTTCTATGACCATTTGTGTCATACCTTAATCACCCTGTTTAACCAGAACTGGTTTGTGGACATTTTGGCTGTAAAAATGTCATACTTTATGTGGTCTTAGGGGTGTGTTCAGTAGTGAGCAGAATAGTGAGCTGTCAAGTTGAGCTTGGCTGCTCAGCACCGGGAAGTCAAGTGATAACAGTGGAAGAAAATGTTGTAGACCTCTGCTTGTGTGTCTAATGTGACAAATGGCTTTGAAGGACACGTGTTGCACCTAAGGTTGGTCGTACCATGAAAATCTCATACCGTTGTAACAAAGACACACACAGAAACATCATTGGAAAGAATACAATTCAGATTTTATCATTGTGACACAGCAGTGTTTTACATACGGCATTAGCAGCAGTATCAACAGCTCTAATATGTTTTATTTGCAAGGCCAACAGATGTCTCAGTTTTCAACTTTAGTGTTGAAATTCACATTTTGTCACAGATAACAGGGTGGGGCAGTAAGAAAGGGGAAAAACGATAGGGAGAAATGTCATTGTGACACAACTGTTAGGACTAGGCTTTGTCTGTCGTTACAGGTGGTATTTGTAGGGTGGAGGCTGGAGTGGTAGTGCTATTGAGTGACAGAAAAGTCGGCAGGTTTTGGTCAACAGTTACAGCCTGAGAGTGCGCACGTGTGTTAATTTAGTAATAGAGTAACTCCCATAAAAAGATTGTCTAAAAGGTCAAGCGAATGTTCTACCACTGCATGTTGCAGATGGCATGAACAGAGATTGCTAACAAGTTTCAGTAAGGGTGTAGGTGATGATGAAAGAGAGGGGGGGGGTGCGTAAGTAAGAGAGCATGTAAATCAAAATGAGGGGAATTGTTCCATTTATGGCACACCTGAAACTCCTCCTCCTATCTGAAACTGTGCACAATTATAAATCTCTTAAGTATTTTTTTTAGACTTCTGTCCCCATGTTCTGTCTTTCTCTTCGATTGGATGTTATTTTAGTAGGAAATATAGCAGCCAATTTGTTTTGCCAGAGATAAAAATCCCATTCCCTAAAGCTCAGTGATCTGCATGTTAACCATATGCAGTCTATGATGTTAACTTGTAGGCTGAGACTCTTTCAGATAAAGCCTTTATTATTAGTAATGGGTAGTGTTGTAGTCTAGACCGCCCTAACCGAGACCAAGTCAAGACCAAGACCAGAGTTTATCGAGACTGAGACAAAACCAAGACTTTTAGGGGCTGAGACCAAGTCGAGACCAAGACCGAGGGAGGGCGAGACCGAGTGAAGACCAAAACCAGTTCCCCACATTACATGACACACAATAAAATGTGTAACGAGATCACAAGTACTTCTCAAGTAGATCTGAAAGATCCACATTCCCATTAAAACACCCACATACAAACACTGAAATCAGAAATCATGTAAGCATCTCCATCGCGGGGAGGGGTGACATGGGAATTTTTAATTAGGATTATTGGTTGCATCTGAAGCAATACGTTTTACATCCAATCAAAGTCAGGATGTTATCAGACAATGCACAAGCAATTTATTCAGTCCTCAATGACCGAGACACGACTGAGTACAAATGCAGTCGAGTCTGAGATGAGACCAAGACCTTTAAAAAGTGATCTTAAGACCGGTCTCGAGACAGCAGGTTGGACAAAACAAGCATTTTGATTAAATCACCTTGGGCTTTAGGGAATTATGATGGCCATTAAAAAATATAGCTCAAACCTTTTATGAATTCCTCGTGAAAATAATTGGCAGGTTAATCTATAAGAAAATAATGGTATAATAATCGTTGCAGCTCCAATTTGCTATCGCACAAAACAAAGGACAGCAGCAAATACTCAAAATGATGAACCTTGACCAAGGGAATAATGCCATATCTGCTGGAAAAATCACTAAAATAGAAATATTTACCAATTCATTTTCTGTCAATTGACTAATCCA